CACTCATATCAATTTAGGTAAGAACTCTGATTAAGTACATCAACCTGAGCTTGTAACACACTTGGATTTTAAATTCATTCTGTCCTAGGGGCTCCCTCCATGGACAGTGACCAACAGCTGATTGTCAAGAGTTCTGTTCTTATTTACAGAGCGCCATTCCTGAGAATGGAATTTTACAGAGCAACAAGATTTCCTCGCCGGAGGAACTCATAATCTAAGATATAACAGGAGAGCCAACAGAAAGAAGGGTTAATAGAGGTTCCCCAGGGCAAGGATCAACAAAAGAAGAACATGCTTTCAGTACAGGTACATGTACCCAGGGTTAGTTTTAGTAGGGGAGGAAGGCTAAGGAACTTCCTCAAAAAGGAGGGAAAGAAAAGAGAGGTGGCACCAGGAATACACCTGGTGACGCTCCCCCAAACTACCTTCACAATGCCTCCTCTCTTTTCCTTTTAACCCCTCAAAATCCACCTCATAAGCAACAAAAGTGGAATCATCTGGGGAAACAAGAGACAATGAGACAGCCGAGGGGGATGGAGAGGCAAAATAAACAAAGACTCATTTGAAATATGAGCACAGCGAGATAGGGACCCAAGGCCTTGGAGAGCTTTGAGGGTGAGGACAAAGAGTTTATGGTGAATCCAGGAGTTGGCAGAAAGCCAACATAGGGAGTTAGGATAAGCCGTCCCAAGTCAGAGCAACAAGAGGTGCTCAGAGAGGCAAAAGTACAAGACTAGTCAGAACGTTAAAAACAAGAGATGAACAGATCATGAAGCAGAATTTTTGCTTAGAGGAATAAAGGAAGGGTTGTATTATGTTATCTTCATAAGGGGAGAAGCTGTATAACTTGGCAACAGACTCAAGATGGGTAGTAAAGCAGGACTTCAACAGAAAGATCCATGCCTGTTCCACAGGGTGAACAGTGATGTCATCAGTGGGTGTTGAGCAGACAGGAGAAAAGGAATGTTTGAGGGAAATGATAAATTTACTCTTGGATATTCTGGGAGACATCAACGCATAAGTATCAGATACAATTTACAAATTACACACAATGCAGATACAATTTACACCAGGTTGGTGGTGACTAGGAACAACGGTGGCGCCGACGCTCTGGAATGAGCTCCCCAGCGAGATCAGAGCCCTGCGGGACCTCCAGCAATTCCACAGGGTCGTGAAAACGGAGCTTTTTCGATGGGCGTTCCAGTAGGAAAGACCCTATATCGGCTGTGCTGCACTTGCACTTTATTATACGACACCGCCACATTTAAATGGTTTTAACTGTATTTATTTAATTGGAAATGAGCTGAGCTATTTTATTGAGTGGTATTTTATGTATGTATTTATGCTGGTTTTATAATTGTTGTAAGCTGCCCTGAGCTGCTTCAACAGGAGGGCGGGATAGAAATCGAACAAATAAATAAATAAAAACACATGTAAAAGAGTAAGACAGCAGAATTTTGAAGTGACAGAACTTGACTGAATCATAACAGACTACTGGTAGAGGATCATATTTTGAAACACACCCCACTCCCCAGATTAAAAATTCCCTGCAAAAATAAAAACACCACAGAAAATTAAAGGGGGGAGGTAGATGCTTTCTCCCTGTGGTACTAGGTTTCCATCTGCATGGAGTTGTGTGTTTTTTTAAAGGGAGACCACCTTCAGTCCATGATCATGCGGTGCATTCTAACAGTTCAACATTCCAACTCCATGTTCTCCTGCCATGTGTAACCAGGTGTCAGACAGGCAGTTGGAGATGTGGGATTAGAAGGAAGGGAAAAAAGTTCTTGCACACTGAGATGGAGCTGGGTGTCATCAGGCCTAGGATTCTGTTCTTTGTAATGGTAGTCACTGAGCTTTTGAAGATAAACTTTTAGCTTTACGTATTTCATGCAAAAAAATTCCCCCATAGTTTAAGATGAGTTCTCTCTTCGCACATTCAGCCAGTGATTCCCAGGTTTCTGTTTTAATTAGTGGATCACTGATGTAGATGCACCTTCCTTTGGGATCAACAGCTTTCACTACACTATGTCCACCATCTACTTGAAAGCTTAGGGACACATCAGTGTAGCTTAGAACATACTGACGAACCCTCATCCATCACATGAGGAAGCCATTTGAAAACCGAAGACATGCACAGGTTGGACGTTCAACTTAATGGGAAGGCCATCTCCTTCCAAACGTCACCACAAACTTCAAGAGAGAGTTCCCTCATGATTTTACATTGTATCAAGTTTGCATTCTCAAAACTGCCCCTTTGCCAGGAGTTTGTTCTTACCAGGGACTAAGTATCTGTCAGAAGCATAGTACATGTGAATTCATTTACACATGCTTTACAACTCAATAACTGCAAAATCAAGTGAGAACTTGCCTTTCTGAAGCAGCCCCTGCCAGCACAGATCAACCGCCACAAGCAACACTATTGTAACATCACCTCATCTCACCTCAAAACATAATACTTTTTCATGAAGAGAGGTTTTCTCAGAATGATATCAAGTGATACCAATTCCAATAACCTTTATTGGCATAACTATCAAGTGATACATGGCATGTGCAAGTTAACTGTTAGGGTATTCAGGTTTCAGCTGGATTTCAAGGCAGCCTCTGCTGCTGAGGAACAGAATGTGATTCAGTTTCCTGTATGACTTTCCCACCTTAGATTTGGAACTGATTGATTGAAAGTGTTTCCACATTTTAAAAGTTTAATGCACAGCTTAAAGACAAGGCTCATCGCTCATCCTGACTCAGAGGTAGCTCAACGTGGTCAGCTGTGTTGGTCTGAAGCAGTAGAATAAATTTAGAGTTCAGTGGCACCTTTAAGACCAACACAACGGTTTATTCAAGGTATGCGGTAGCTCAGTTTTCATAAGGGTCCTCATCATCATGCGTTTGCATGTGTTTTCAGGCAAAAAAAAATCCCCCCTGGTGCGCAATCTGAAGTGGTATGCCCTTTTGTGGTGATACAGCCATGTTGGAAGTACTGTATCCTTTCTGGTTTTTAACCACCTTATTTTAACGCTCAGTAAGCACGGTTATTGATGTGCAGATTAAGGAAAGAGAATATAGATAACGACTGTGATTTTGTAGAGTTTTTCTAAATTATAACAGTGAGAAAACAAAGTAGTAAAATAAACTACAGAGAGTAATAACAGGGTGAGAACTGAAAGAAGCCTCCAAAGTCTACCTTTCTGCTGATACATTCAACACAGACTGGTGATCAATTATTCATACAACCCTAATACATTTATGGCTTCTGGCAGGTAGCACAGGACACTTTTAATACTATGGCAAGTTCAAATTCTGAGTCAGTATACCAGTGAGAAATTGATGTTTTCATCCCAGTTCATTATCCAACATTTGCCTACCTTAAGAACTGGCAGACAACACATATATCACCACAGCCGGGCCAAGGCTGCAATCTTAAGGCCTTGCACGGGAGTAAGCAGCATTATAAAAATGGTACTTATGTCTGAGTAGACCTGTTTAGGATTACTCTTTGAGAGACTTCTAAACTTTGAATGGAGAGTATTATCAGTTTGGTTGGAAACAGTTCATTCACAGAACTCTATAAGGTATTCTTATCCCAGCAGGAAATAACAACCAGACATTTCAGTGCATCATTTTGACTCTGTAAATTCTTTTTGGGACTGGTTATTTTGTTTGTAGATAAAACTGATACAAGCTCCCAAACGGCAATATGACTAAAAACAATATTACTAAAAATGCAGCGTCATCAGCACCTCCCCATTGCTAAATATAGCCTCCATAGCATTTATTGGTAACAGTGACAATATTTAGATGCACAGCTATATCTAGTCGACTTTACACTTAATCTACTAAGGAACAGCTTTTTAAATAGAAGTGAACCCCTGAAATATAGCCTACCTAATGGGAAATGATTACCCTTCCCCCTGCTTTCCACTTAAAATAAATATACCGGAAGCTAGAGGGAGAACAGTTTCTATTAAAGGCAGGCATCATGACAATAGGGCGATGTTTTGCCACCAGTTCTGATCTGGTTTTTTTTGGGGGGGGGGGAATAAAAGAAGTTTCCTCTTCTTGCCTTCCTTTTGCTAGAAGCAGTAATACTAATTATACCGCAAAATGAAGTTACTTCTCCTCATGCCCCAAAGTCAAAGTGCAATGCACCCAATCTCCGGAGGCCTCCGGGATTTGCAAGTCCACACCCCAAGGCAAAGTACCAAGTGACAAAGCACATTGTGATGTTAGCACAGGCATTAGCTAAATTAAAACTATGCATCCCTAATAGGCCAAGGGGCACATTAACCCCCCCCAACAAAACACAACACTGTCATATTGTCAAAAAGCACAGGAAAATAGGCATCCAAGTGGTAAAAACTCTTTTCGCTGGGAGCAGATCCACGCAGGGGCATGCATGGGCTTGACTAGCATT